CGTTCGTGGAACTTTCCGTTTGCATATTCGTTCGACAAGGTTCTATCGCGCTTTCCCCTCTCGCACTTCAATTGCGCGGATCTCATATAAACACACTTGGCGCCTCCACTTCATTTCCCCGATCACTCAGTTACTTCGCTCATCTACTCTTCCTCTCCACCTGCACTCGCTAAACAATTCCCACAGTCGAGTCTCAACTTCATTCTTTCACAAGAAACCACCAGCCACACATTCAGAATGCTTGTCTCAATCATCTCTGTTCTGGCCGCGGCCACCGCTGTCGCCGCCCAAGGCACTCCCGCTCCCGTCGTAATGGGCAACCCCATGGGCGCCAAGTACGTCGGTACTCTTCCCGCCAAGGAGGGCAGCGCTCTCACCGGATCCATCGAGGCCACCACCGGCGCCGACGGCAAGGGCGTCAAGTTCCAGGTCTCCTTCGCTGGCCTTCCCGAGACTGGCGGTCCTTTCATGTACCACCTCCACGCTAAGCCTGTTCCTTCTGACGGCAACTGCACTGGTACCGGCGCTCATCTGGACCCGTACATGCGCGGCGAGGCTCCTCCCTGCGATGCCACCAAGCCTGAGACCTGCCAGACTGGTGACTTGAGCGGCAAGTACGGAAACGCTACTGAGACCACTTTCTCGGCTGAGTACACCGACTTGTACTCTGCTACCCTGCCTTCTGACCCTGCTTTCGTAAGTCTTCCTCAATCACTCCAGTCAGGAATAGATTGCTAATACATAACAGTTCGGCGCCCTATCCTTCGTTGTCCACCTCAGCAACAAGACCCGTATCGGCTGCGCCAACTTCACCATGGTCTCTGCTGGTGAGGGTGAGGGCTACCCAGCTGCCTCTTCCTCTGCTGCCATGTCTTCCGCACCAGCCATGTCCTCTGGATACGCCATGCCTCCTACCACTGCCTCATCTGGCTTCGCCATGCCATCCGGCTCGCCTGCTTACAACGCCACCAGCACCGGCATGATGTCGCCCACCACCGGCATGCCCATCCCTCCCAGCTCAGCTTCCGCCTCAGCCCCAGCTGAGTTCAGCGGCGCCGCCGTCAAGGTCGCCGGTGGCGCTGGTGCTCTGCTCGCTGCCGCTGCCGCGCTCGTCTTGTAAATGAGCAACATCCGTGCTTAGATGGGAGCATAGGTGCATCATGGAGTTTTCTTCTTTTTCTTCTTTTCAATGTCATTGATACCAGATGGGTCGCTAGATCGGCTTCATCGCTTCTTTTCGCCAGACACGCGAGGGTCCATTACTTTGGTACCCTTTTTTCGCATGTGTATAGGGTCATGTTCACGGGGTCACTTGTTCAATAATGTAGTTTGATAATGGGCTAGATATGAGAATGTCACAGATTTGCAAATACTGGTTCTTGCGTCCTTGGTTGTCTTCGGTGAATGTTCTGACGTGACTTTATCAGGGCGCCTCTGTGACGGTGAATCTTCATGTTAGTATGCATGGAAACGCTATACATCATCACTCAGATTGATCAACAGGAAGATGGTGGCGTTGGTGACTTGCTCAATTGCAGTCGATGGCCATTTGGCTCATATTCATGTGTAGTACATGAGGGTATCATTCCCCGTCCACGTGTCAACCTCCATCTCGTATCCTACTCGTCCAAAGCTATACAGTAAAGCATGCGCAACTCGAAGTGAGAGCTGTCCAAGCCTTGGCTTGTACAGGTGGTTAGTCTGAATCGCTGTCAGGAATCTCGCCGCGGCCAGACTTCTTGAAGCGAGGCTTGTCCTCGGCAAGCAGAAGCACTTGATCACGCCCGTCGTATCGCTGGCCGCCGAACTTCCAGGCCACAAACCTCTCTGCGTCCTCGAACTCCTTGAAGCGGACGGTGACAATGCCCTCTGGTTCCAAGTCCCAAATCGTGACCTTGGTGACTTCGCCGATCTGCTTAGCGGGCTTCATCGTATCCTCGAAGACATCGCTATAGTTATCCGGATCGTTCTTCATCACGTCCACGTCGAACATGCCCTTGATGATGACGTTCTTCGCCCACTTGTTTTTCTTGGCCACGAAGGTTTGGGCAACCTCTTCCTCGTTGTCGGACCACTCGTTGAGTTTTCTATATCTCTATTAGTAAAAATATGAGGATAAGCAGACTTGCGAACTTACCGGTTGAGCTCTTGCCTGTTACGCTCTGACGCCTTACGGTCAGCTCGTGTAAGCTTTGATGCCACCTTGTCTCCGTCCTTTTCCTTCTTGTAGTCCATGCTGGCGGGCTCAACGCGGATGTTGCCGTGCTTGGTTTCGCCAAGGCGCAGAGGGTAGTCATCCGCTAGCTTGACGGCGTTGACGATGGCCTCTTTCTTGAAGTATACGATCATGGCAGTGCCGTTGAACTTGCCCTCATCATCCTTGTAAAGATTGATGCGAGGCTCGCCGTTGGCGCCCTTGTCGATCATGCCGTATCGTGAGAACTCTTCCTCGAGCTCCGTCTTCGTGGTGTCAGGCGGCAGGTTAGAGATCCAGATCGCCTTGTTCTCCATGACCTTGGCTTTCTTGTTAGGCTGTCTCATGTTAGCGAGTGATCTAGAAGCTTGAGACGCTACTAACCTCGGGTTCCTTCTCGGCCTTTCGCTTCTTGTTGGTCTGAGGCTCTGGTGTGCGATCGGCGGGTGCCGACGGAGAGCGTGAGACAGCCTCACGACCCCCCATGAAGTCGTCTAGGTCTGTAGCGTAACTGGACATGATATCGTTAGAAGATGTCACAGCAAGAGTTCGTGCCAAAGAGGTTCGGCAATAGGTTCGGCAACGGTTTCGCGGCTCAGCAACTGATCAAGGTGCACGTTGGTGAGACGCGCAACTTGTTGTTGTTGTGGTGAAGAGGAGCTCGAGTCGTCGGCGGCAGAAATATTGGGCGGTAAGGTCTGTTTGCGGGACAACGGGCGCTACGGCGTTGATGTTTCTCCGGTGCCGGTAGCAACAAGGGCTGTTGCCTAGCGAAGAAGAGAACTCAGGGCGCTGGGAGTGATGACAGCAGCCTTGGAGGTCGCTGTTGGAGACGCCATGGTTCGTTAGTCTTTCTGAAGGGCAAGCCTTCTAATGCCGCCATGCTCTTTCGGAGGGCGCGGATGAACCTACACAGCGCTGTGCGAGATGTATAGGAGCTCAGAGGCGAGTGAGGTTTGTTGTGCTGACCGGGTGAGGTTTGTGGATGAGGAAGAGAGGAATGACGATGGCAGGACCGATAGAGTCGCGGAGTGGTGCATGCAGGACGCCGGCGAATTCCCGCCTAGCGCCGTCAGGGTAAGCTTTAAGCTTCGATCGCAGCAGCCTTAGCCCCGCATGTGCCGACTCAGTGATCACGGTAAAACGCCCATCCGAGGCGTGCAATGTAGGATACACGAGACACTCCGGACGCAAGAGGAAACCCTCGAAGATCACTGCGCCCCACCGCCGAGTATATATAGGCGGAACATGTAGCCGCAAGAGTCCAGTATTTCTCCCTGTTCCTGCTCTTGCGACCGTTGCGCACAGCGAAACTGATACACCATGTCTTTAGTCGATATCCTACTCAGACCCAATATGCGGGACCCGCTTCCTGCGCCCTCGCTGCTCGTGCAGTCTAGCAAGTCGTTCGCCGACAAGCTGAGCCTGACGACGCTTCCGTACCACGTCCACGAGATCCTCCTCGGCTTCCTGGGCTACCATCTCATCCTCCATGTCCTTTCTCCCGCCGTTTCGCGACTCGTCTGCCCGAATGTATACAGGAGCTTCAATAAGCGCACGCGACTCAACTGGGACATCCACTGGGTCTCTATGATTCAAGCGCTATTCATCTGCGCCGCTGCGCTGTGGGTCATCTTCAAGGATGAACAGAGGCACGAGATGGACTGGAGGGGTAGACTGTGGGGATATACGCCAGCTAGCGGTATGGTGCAGGGATTCGCAGCTGGGTACTTCCTATGGGATCTCCAAGTGTCCGCGCAATACATCAACATTGCTGGCGTAAGCTCTTTGATCCATGCGATCGGTGCTTTGGCCGTGACCTGCATTGGCTTCGTACGTTCTCTGCTTCCACAGCACAACAAATGTGCTGACTCTCTTCTAGAAACCCTTCGGAAACTACTACGGCCTCTCCTTCGTCCTCTACGAACTCTCCACCCCGTTCCTCAACATCCACTGGTTTTGCGACAAGCTCGGAATGACTGGTTCAAAGCTCCAGCTCTACAACGGTATCGCCCTCCTCGTTACCTTCTTCGGTTGCCGCATCGTCTGGGGCTCATACCAGTCTGTCATGATCTACTCAGACATCTACAAGGCGCTCACTATGCCCAAGCCCGAACTCATGAGCTCTCTGCTCGAGGCCCAGAAGTGCGACGGAACCTCCAACAGCAGTATGGGTCTCGAGGGACCCGGAAACTGCACAGCTGGCGAGCTGCCCATGTGGCTGGTCTGTGTATACTTGGTGGGTAACACGGCGTTGAGCATGCTCAACTTCTTTTGGTTCTCGCAGATGATCAAGGCTGTTAGGAAGAGGTTCGTACCTGCGGAGGAGACCAAGGCCAAGAAGAGCCAGTGAGCGTCCTTCTTGACGAATGATGTGATGGGATCCAGAATGCGCAAGTGTTTGGAATGGGCGTTCTTGGAGTCGCAGGATGAATGTAATGGATGGACAGGGAGAGAGTGATGATACCCAGCGTTCTTTGGATAGTTTCTCAAAGTTGATGATACTGAATATGAATTATGCGCTTCAACAGCCGCAATAATGAACTCAACGATACTGATACATCCACGCGCTCATGCCAATACGAATCGAATCAAATACTCCCCATGGCCTCTCATAACTTCGCACTCGCAGCACCCATCTTCTCCACCTCCTCCCTCAACACCCTCCTCATCTCCCCCGCCATCTTAGCCCCCTCCTCATCATCCAAATCATCCCTCTGACCCCGTCCAAACATCGTCCAACTCTTATTCTTGATCTCTGGCATCGTCTCCGGACGCGGTATGATGTGGAAATGTACATGAGGTACTACTTGTGCTGCACGTGCTCCTGCAAGTACATATTAGAATACGAGGAGATGGAAAAGAAGCAAGAAACATACCGTTATTCTGCACGATATTGTAATCCGTCACGCCCGTTACTTTCGCCACCGTCCGTGCTAGTATCGGTAACCAGAAACCTAGTCGCACAGTCAGTATACCACTCTTGTTCAACGCACAAGATCCGTTTCCTAACGTACCAATCTCCCTACTCTCCACAGCCTCCATATCCGCAACCTTGACCTTATGCTGACGCGTAGTAACAAGCAAATGGCCTCCCGTCATCGGCAAGATATCCAGAAAAGCAACGACATCCCTACTCCGCAACACGACAAAACTACTCGGATTGGTTTTCTCGGGATCGCTCTCCTCTTCTTTCGGTATGCTCTCTTTCAACAAGTCTTGTTCTAGGGTACTGCTGCTCTTCCATAGAGAGGGAGTGGGCGGTGGACTGCTCGGGGAAATAGACGAGGGTGATGATGAGGGGAAGGGGAAGGCGGCGGCGATGGTGCAGAAGGGGCAGGTTTGGGGTGGGTAGTGGAGGTCCGTTTCTTGCATTGTTGCGTTGGTGGGAGCGTTGGTTGGTTGCTAGGAGCGTTGGTTGTGCTGGTTTGTGGGGATGTAGTAGTCGGAACGGTGAATAGTAATTGATGGATGTTGACAATAATTGATGAACGGGTGCTGACGATGCCGTTTGTTGATATGGATATCCACGTCTTGTTCCGGTAGGTAGGTGAAGGGCCGGTAACGCTGTCCAGATAACGCAGGTGCAAGTCGTTGCAACAAGATTCACAACCTCCACTCACTCAAACGTCTTCAAAATCGAACAAAAAAGACGACGAAAGATAAGAACGATAATCAGGGTCTTCCCCGTATTGATGATCGATCAACACGCAATCAACGCGCAAAGCTGTGGTCGCAGTGCATTCAGGTGAGCTCCGTATTCAGATTAGCGCCGATGTCGACGTGAATTGCCGAGGCACATTGATCGCGGGAACGCGACATGGCCGGGCTGGGCACGTCTGCATCGCGATCGTGGAGCGGCAACGCGGGCGTGTTGGTGTCAGTGCTGAGCAAGACGCGCGAAACCAAGGAAAATGTGGCGTCTGAACACGGTCGTGACGTACCGTGTATCTTACGAGTCTTGGACGCGCGACGCGATGCGCTTCTTCGTGTTTAGGTGTGGGTCTTTGCATGAGATGGCTGGGGAAGGATGGCTAACAGCATGTATGGCATCATCGTGCAATGTCAGAGTAAAGTCACGTCACGTCAGACGAAAGCGAGGCTCATTGAAATTTCTGTCTCCATTTGACGCGAAACAGTGCGTTTTCAGACTATTCATACACTCTGAGAGCTGCCTCACATTTGCTATCCCAATGAACCCATATTTCCCACAGACACCACATACAGATCCACCAAGGAATAGCCTCTCCCATATCACACCATTCATGGTATATCGATCGCTAATGCTATGAGCGAGTATCCAGAGCCGCTACAGAGAAATGAAGTTAAGAGTGATGTGAAAAGGCAAGCACCCTTGATTTGCGCCTCCGTGCATGGGGGATGAACGCCTGCGACTCCATGTTCCAAAACAAGACAAGAGAAACCATAACAGAATTGTGCAACCAACTTGCATCCCATGTATTAACGCCGACCGGAAGATGGTATTAGCCAAGATGTAAACATGAAGGGGTTGGCTTGGATGCAATCGTAAATTTTGCTCCCGGTCGAACCGAACATCGTCATCCGCTGCTCAGTGAGCATGGCGGTAATGAATAGCTTTGCGACTCCTGAGCCAAAGACCGGGAGTGCCTAAAGAAGGAGAACAGTCTTAGCGCTGGCTCTTGGTCTTGGAGGGGACAATGGCGGCCTCCTCCTCCTCTTCTTGGAGCGCGTTACCGTAGGCAGCGACGTAGTCCTTTGCCCACTTGCGTAGAACGATGGATGCTGGTGAATGTTAGTTGTGAACGACAGAGTGGAGTATGCGATGACTTACCCTTCAAGAACTTCTTGCTAGCATACTTCTTAAAGAAGGCCTCGTGAATGACAGGGCTGGAGAGGTAGTCGATCATCAGCTGCAGGACAGGCTGGATCTCCTCCTCGCTGTAGCCGGCGTAGTGTGTGAGGGTCTCGTCCCAAGGGCCACGCTCGAGGACGAGGCGGGCAAGGTACATGGCAGCAGCAGCGACTTGGCTGGGGGGGTGGGCGAGGAAGCGGTGATCCAGGCAGCCGATCTCGAGGAGGTACTTGCCCAGTGTGCGGGTCTGGATGTCGTAGTTGTCGGCCTTTGATATCCGGCGGAGGAAGTTCATAGGGTTGGGGTAGCTCAGGTCGTAGTTGAGGGCAGCGAGGACGAAGCGCTCGGCGCTGAGGATCTCCTCCTCGGTGAAGCCATCATCGGCGACGTGACGGAAGTTCTGGACGTGGGGAGAGAGGACCTCCTCGTACTTGGACGCGATGAACATGGCGGTGACACCAACCAACTGAAGACGGTCAAGCTGGACGATCTTGGCTGAGAGGAAGCGGTCGATGATGTTGACAGCAAGGAAGAGAGTCTCCGGGAGGAGGCGGAAGCGAGTGTGAACTTCGAGTAACCAGTCGACGAGAATACCGCGCATCTTCCACTCAAGCTCAGTCTGGGACTCCATATAGTCCGGGTTGGCCATGGTCGCAATCTCTAGCTCCTTGAGGTACTCAAAGATCTCAACAACGTACTCGGAAACCATCAATGGGTCGTCGACGTCCTCCTTGTCTAGGTCTGGGCCCTTGTAGAAGACCTCTGTGATGGGCTCAAGCTCCTTCTTGGTGCCGTTGGCAGCCTTGGTGTCCTTCTCCTCGGTGACGTTCTCCTCTGGGACAACGTTCTCAGCCTCCTCTTCATCTTCCTCCTTGAGCTCCTCCTCGGGGTCCTCTTCCTTGACGGTCTTGGTAATTTGCATTCGCTTCTTGGCTGGTTGGCCGGCGATACCGTTGCCGCTGGCACCGCGCTTCTTCACCTCGGATGACGCGAGGTTCTTCTCCTTGGGTTCTAACATGGAACGCGTCGAGTTGGCCCGCGATGGCTTCTTGATGCCGGTGGGCTGTGCTGCTTTGGAGACTGCGCCCTTGGTGGCCAGGACCTTCTTTCCATCCTTCGCGACAGCACCGAGGCCGTCGGTCTTGGTGACATTGCTGACGTCACCGAGGGCAGCACGCTTACGCGTGGCAGCACCGTTCGCGCCTAGAGTAGCAGTAGACTTCTTCGCCTGGAGAGTCTTCTTGGGCACGTCGGCAGCAGACTCGTTGGCGCCGAGGTTGGCGGCCTTTGCACGCGTCAAGCGTGTCGTAGCCGCGTTCTCATCGTTCTCGTTGGTGACGGCGCGCTGCCTGAGAGATCGAGCCTGTAACACGCGTTAGTAGAGTGAATCGTGATGGACGTGTTGCTTCGCGCCGATGGGAGATGGGACGAGAGCAGATGGGGTGAGAGCAGGTGAAAGGGCGACGACGTACAGCGGGAGGCATTGCAAGCAATATTATGTATGCTGATCAAGGCTAGAGAGGTATCCTGGTGCTGAGTATATCTGGAGAGTGGAATGGCGGCTGTAGGACTTGTTTTGATACACTGTTTTGAGGTGTCAGCAGAGCTCGGTGAAGCTTGAAAAAGCGCGCGTAGAGGCTGCCAACGCGGGAGCATCAAGAGCCGCGATATGCATGCACCGATGTTGCATACAGAACCACGGTTGATGCTCGCGAAAGCTGACCGGACTGACACGCCTGATGGGGTGCGGCAGCGACGGTGACGTGACGGGCGAGAGAGACGAACCCTTGGAGCGCTCGGTGCGTGGTAATTGAGTGGACAGGGTAACGATCCAGCTGCAATTATTGGTGAGAGGGAGTGGAGAGGATGGGGGAGGGCGAGAGAGGATGTGCACCAAGGTGTGTTGTGGGTAGGAAGAGAGGTATGTTGTGTGTTTTGAGCGAGGGCAGGCTAGCTTGGCTTCCACGTCCCACGCGCCAAAATCGCATTCGAGGCTGGCAGAGGGCAACAGTGCACGCCCCACAGGCGCGTCAGTGGACTTACCAGAGATGACACCAGGCCCCAACGCGTAAACTTTGCCCGTGCAGTAAGATGGGTCGCGGGCGAGCAGCTGGGCTGTGAGATGGGGGTTCTGGCAGGTGCAGCGTAAAGATGGCGAAGACGACGAGCGTGTTGTGGTGGGCGAGGAAGCAGACACACGTTGTTGCTGGGACATCGCGCCCTGCCTGCCCGACCCACCCGGGCCGGCCTAGCCAATTGCGGCGGGTTTGAGAATTATTCGTGACATGACGAGCAGCTGCACGCCATCCAGCCGGCGTCCATTGCACCAGCGTGAAGCATCCAGCGTCCCCAGCTGCACCCCCAGATATGCTGCAGCCGCGGATATGTCGTTTCCAGCCCTCGCGACTGGGCCGGGCGCTGCTGTCTGCCCGCACCTACGCACAGGTCCAGGCCATCGACCTTAAACCTCCCCCAGCGATACAGCCCACCGTGGCTGCCGACGCCGGAGTACTGAAACAGGAAGGCTCGCGCAAGGAGAAGTTTATCCCTCTGCGCACATACAAGCCTCGCACGCCTGGTCTGCGCCATCTCAAGCGACCCGTCAACGACCACCTGTGGAAGGGACGACCGCACCTGAAGCTCACCATCGAACGGAAGGGGCAGCATCTCGGAGGAAGGAACAACACAGGACGGGTCACGGTCAGGCACAGAGGTGGTGGCCACAAGAGGAGGATACGCATCGTCGACTACAAGCGATACCTGCCCGGCAAGCATGTGGTGGAGCGGATAGAGTACGACCCCAACCGGAGCTCGCATCTGGCCCTCATCACCCGCGTGGCTACTGGAGAGAAGTCGTACATCATCGCCGCAGATGGCATGAGGGCGGGCGATGAGGTCGAGAGCTACAGGACAGGTATTCCCAAGGACCTGATTGACAGCATGGGTGGTGGCATTGATCCCGGTATGCTGGCCGCGAAGACAGCCGCACGTGGAAACTGCCTTCCTATCCACATGGTGCCCCTCGGTTCGCAGGTATACAACGTTGGTACCAAGACAAAAGGCGGGGGTGTCTTCTGTCGCAGTGCCGGTACATACGCCATCATCGTGAACAAGGAGGAGGTGGAGAAGGGCAACAACTCAGAGATCAAGCACGTTATTATCCGCTTGATGAGCGGTGAAATCCGCAAAGTCAGCGCAGACGCATGCTGCACCATTGGTGTTGCCAGCAACCCGCAATCACACTTCACATCACTTGGAAAGGCCGGACGTTCACGGTGGCTCGGAAAGCGGCCAGAGGTCCGTGGTCTCGCCATGAACGCAGGTCAGTTCTTGAATCATTCACTTCAGTTGCAGTCTTCTAACATGTCGCAGCCGATCATCCCCACGGTGGTGGTCGTGGTAAATCAAAGGGTAACGTGCACCCCGTCAGTCCGTGGGGCACTCCAGCAAAGGGAGGTTACAAGACGAGGCACAAGAGGAACAAGCACACATTCCTTGTCCAAGATAAACCCCGCAACCAAGGAAAGCGGAGGGCGAGGTAGGGTGGCCGCCGGTGTACTATATGCTCAAGATGGAGCTGTACCATATACTGTAGTCGCATGCCATGCCGTCTACCAATATACATCAGTACTCACCCAGTTGCGTTTCGACATGCTTGCACAACAGCAGCAAATGCATAATGTTAGCTGTGCTGCCTAGACTCCAGCTGGTCTGACTACCCCAGTGCTTCACCGATAACCCCATCATGCGCATCGCACAACCAAACGTGCATCCCCTGTTCAAGCAATTCGGCATCATCTGCTCGAATTTCGCCTTCATCAAATACTCGAGGCTCGGGGACTCTCTCGGTCGCATCTGAGGTCCTGACGTGTGCCAGCAGAGTCCAAGCAGACTTAGCAGAGTCCAAGCTCGGGGGTCGGAACTTTGGACGTTGCGGCTCTTCTGCAATCTCACGACCACGGCTTCCTGGGCATGCATAGATCACTTGGCTGCTTGTGGCCTGGGCAGAACCAGATCTCCTGCCACGAGCTCATCAAGTCGTGTAATGAACGGTAGGTGGCATCATTATTTAACTTTGAGCATTCTTATCTCTGCGCGCACCGTTCAAGTACGTGAATTCATGATTACTACTGGTGTGACCGTTGACAGGCCGACACCTGGTCTCCATGTTTGGGTTGATGACACAAGACGCTGCGCGTAGATCGGTCGCATTTTGATCCATCTTGGGCTGGACTACTGCCCCACCATGCCGCTCTGGCGAAGCTGCATACAGCACCTTGCAGCCACAAAACAACCACATATACAACAGGGCACGCGGAGAAACACCGTGGGCTCCAGCGTAGCTATCAGGACCTAGAGAGCAAACTCTCTGTATCAGTAATCGTCTATGTAGCTGCGAACTTACGGTAGGGGGTCCTTGCTGGCAATCCCAAGACTCGGGAGATCCGCCATAATTAGTCCATATGCTCGACGTTGCACATCACCTCACGCTTAAGGCAACACGCATTGCGCGGACGGCCTTGCAGGTGAGACCAGGTACATGAACGTAGCTCAGCCATGGCCTGTTCTACACCCAATAGCACATGCACTTCTAACGTCCTACTCTTACACCCACCTTAGAGGCATAACGCGCTCTTAGTGCTGATCAACCGCTGGTGCCTACCCGCGCGCATTCGAGACTCCGAGGTCTTCACCGACACCGACGCTTAGAGCGACCGTTAAACTGCCGACGTAGCTTCGATTAAGATCTCGCAATCAAACGGAAATCGTGGCTTGACAGAGGACCCTCATCCGTTTGAGCCGTGCTTACGCGGGGGCGGTTCGTCTGAACCAACGTGGATCCAAGACTCCTCCTGGACTGCCAAAGACCAGCAAGATTCGCCAACATGGCTTCCAACGGATCCGAATCGCCAGACGAGTCGTTCTTCAACGACCTCTCCCAACAAGCGCAAGACCCGAATGCTACCAACAGTCAGGAAACGCAACAGGATGGATCAAGCAAGGTCAAGAGGATTGCCTGTGTTCTGTGTAGGAAGCGGAAGTTGCGATGCGACGGCACCCGGCCAACATGTTCGACCTGTAAACGTCTAAACCACGATTGCGCATACGACGAAGTACGCAAGAAAAGTGGACCCAAGCGCGGCTACGTCAAGCTGCTCGAACAACGGCTGCGTAAGTTGCGCATACTTCTGCTGGTGGATGGTACTGACTCATGGGATACAGAGCAAGTCGAGACCCTCCTCAAGACACAAGACACAACCGACTCGAGCAAGGACGCCCCGCACCAGGACGCCGCTTCCGCATACGTCGCGAACACTGTAAATCAATCGCTGCCGAATTCTAGAGATGTGCCCAACACAACAGGCAATACTCAAGCGGCCGGTCGGTCGGGGATTAATGGCGCAAGCCCATTCCAAAATATCGGTATACCAGGGAACGACGCGGGGCAAGAGACCTCGTGGGAGATGATAGGGCTTGGGCTCGAGGAACCTTTACCTCCCCAAGAAATCATGGACGATTTGTACGAGCAGAACCTGGCCCGTAGCATGGTGGCTGCGCTGACGCTATTCCAGATATCAAATATACTTCTCCAAGATCCATCTCACACTGCCCGTCATACACAGACCACGGTTTATGGCCGCACTGAACCTGTCTCCTCAAGCGCGCCCACCGGTTTGCCTGCGGTATATCATGTGGACCCTAGCCGCTTCCATCACAGACAAGTACGAGGCGTTACAAGAGCATTTCTACCAACGTGCTAGGAAATATGCGCAGATGGATGAGATGAGAGGCCACGGAGAGTCGACCATCACCCTTGCGCATTGCCAGACATGGGTTTTGATGGCTACGTACGAGTTCAGACAGATGTACTTCCCAAGAGCCTGGATGTCATCCGGGAGAGGTTCAAGACTAGCCCAGATGATGCAGCTGCATCGCCTGGACGGAGTTGGACTAGATGTAAAGCAATGCCTGGCTCCACCCAAGGATTGGACCGAGCGTGAGGAACGGCGGAGAACCTTTTGGCTAACCTTTTGCATTGATCGATACGCGAGTATTGGAACTGGCTGGCCCATGACCTACGATGAGAAAGACGTAAGGACAGACCTCTCGTGCTCATACTACTGCAAAGCCTGACTGTTTTTTTAGATCATGACAAACCTGCCAGCAAGCGAAGAAGCGTTCGACAAGAGTAAGCCCATGGATACTGGATCACTGGACCAATTACTCAATCCTAATGGCGTGCAAAACCTTCAACCACTTGGCGGTATCGTCCTTACAGCTGCAATGTTTGGCCGTAATCTGCTTCACTTACATCGACCACTGTCAGATGACAACGAGAACGATATCAATGGCGGATTCTGGAATCGACATCGAAGCATCGAGCGTATACTTCTGCAGACCTCGCTGAGCCTGCCGGATAGCATACGCCTGCCATCCGGTATAGCCGAACCCAACGTAGTGTTCACGAACATGTGCATACATACGTCGGCAATATGTCTTCACCAAGCAGCCATCTTCAAAGCAGACAAATTCCGGCTACCAGCAAGCGTCAGCAATGAAAGCAAGATTCGTTGCGTAACAGCAGCAGCCGAGATTGCTTCCATCATGCGGATGATCAGTCATATGGACCTCGGTTCAGTAAGTCTTTTGGTAACGGCCGACGATTGGCGTTTACTGATTTGGGCAGATGAATCCTTTTATATCTTTCTGTGTTTACGTAGCAGCAAGGGTATTCGTCCAATACCTGAAGACGCGGCCGAAAGACCAACAGATGAAGTCCTCGTTACAATTCCTCTTACAGGCGATGGAAGCTCTTCGACGGAAGAACCCACTCACAGAGTCGTTCTTGGTGCAATTAGATCTTGATCTAGAGGGTGCAGGTCTGCAGGGCATGCGTCATCAGCCATACACACAGCCCACGCGCAAAGTGAGTCAAACTCCAGAGGTCCTCCAGGGACTCAGTGATACGATTGGGAGTCGATTGAGTCAGAGTTATCCCAAGTAAGTTACTAATTCCTGACCCATAGCCTACCATCATTTCGATCCATTCTGATCCGCAAATCGCCTGCAGTCCGTTAATCAATATACGCGAACCAAATCAACCTGCCGCACCCCCCAGTACGTTCGGAAACGGCGTTCCAACCACATCGGCATCGACTTCCAATACGCAATACTCGAGCAGCGCCCCTGCTCCGCCATTCCAACTCCACAATATCGACAGTATCGACATGAATGCGCACAATGCGACCTTTTTACCATCTCAATTTGATGCAAACAGAGGCTTCGGAAGTACTGCAGCTCAAGCCTTCGGGCCCGCCGGTGGTTTTACTTTCCAGGACAACGAGATGGACCTCTCCGGAGGCGATAGGGGTGTCGATCAGCCCAGCCCCGCCACAATAAGCTCACAGTCAAGAGGAGGCTCGACGTCACATTCTTCTTACTCACCAGGCCAACCAATCGAACACAACATGCCATACCGGGCATCTCCAAAGATGACGGGGCCAGGCTCTGGCAGCGTCTTCCCAGACCTCGCAGCTAATAGAGGAACGTTTCCTACAAATGGCTTCAATCTACCCAGCAACATGGGCAACGAAGCTTATACTGATGGCTTCGTAATGGGTAACGAATGGGAATACGCAGCGTTGAACGCGGGGACAGGCCTGACGCCCATGGCAGACGCGTCCTGGGATTCGATGTTGGAAAGCGTCACGATGGGATGGGATTCAGTTGGCCCTGGGCATGAGAATCAACCGAATGCTGCTGGAGTATGATGGGATTCGTTGTTTGGGGATGTGTACATTGAAATAGCAGGATACCCACTTTCGCTTTGATTGGATCTGGTGTTAGGGCTGATAGCATTGGTGGGCTTGACTTTTAGGTCACGCGCACATTGGCTTCGCGTGCTTTCTGGTAAATCGCCTGCCGACGGTGTTAGATGACGTAGTGCTACCTACGCATTATAGAGGGCGGATAGAACGAACGTTGTATACTACCATGTAAAAACAAGACTGGAACTGGCATACCCAGGTATCATCCTGGGTCCTTGTGACATTCCCCCGGATCCGTGCACGCGGCTAGACATGTACATCGACGGAACCACCTCGGATCGAAATTGCGAACGCGTTGACAGATGTCATTATCGAGGCGAACTCGTTGTTTTTGAAGCTAACATTTCATATCGATTGCAATCGATACTTAGCCATGCTCTCGATGAAAGGACCCTGAAGATCCGGGGATAATGAGGCTTGCAGGGATGGGGGCGGTCTGCGTCACACCTGCAGTTGCTGGGCAACCGGATCGAGAAGCTACGTGCAGCATCGCAACCACATCACCACCGCTTTTTCGCTGCGTCGGGTCGTACAATTAATCTTCACTTCTTCACATATCGTTCTCTATCCCTGTTTCTCTGGGCAGAAAAGCTGGCACTCACGACTGGTGCACCGACAACCGTACAGCAAACAGAGCAGTAAACACCGAGGCCGACGTATATTCGCAATGTTCACGTCGAAGGAGAGGGAAGGTGCTGCGTCACCAGGGCCTGGAGCCTACTATTCGCCGTCCCAAATGAGTAAGAACTACAGCGACGCCTTCGCACTTGCCATACTGACGATTGGCATAGAGAGCTATCTTCAAGACCTTCGCACAAACCGCCCCGCTCGTCCCACCGGAGCTCGACCTGCTCCTGCACACTTCAACACATGGTCGAATAGATCCAGCAACCGAATGTCCGACTCGACTGCCATCTCCTCCCTACAGCGTACCTTCACAGACCCTGTCGTCGACGCCGATGCACGTCCCGCTTCCTCGCACGAACCGAAGTCGCATACCCGAACAACGTCCAAAGCGAGCCTAGATGGAGTCGTAGCCAGTGTTGGAAGGCCACTAGTGCAGCCACCACGCGGGCGGGAGACATCACGATCTTCGTCACGATCGCGCACACCCAGCGTGCAATACCGCGAGAGGGAACAGCGCCAGGCAGAGCAGGACGAGGCACGCGCTATACGCGTGGCCATGGAGGACTTGGAACTTGCAAAGGAGGAGGGCAAGATATTCGAGGCCGCACGAGATGAAGCCGTCGAATTGGTCTGGAAGCATTGCAATCCCCATGCGGCCGCGGCCAGTCCGACCAAACCGTATGCATACCCGGGTCTGGCCAGGAAGAACAGCGCGCAGAGGAGTCGGAGCGTCGAGCCGAAGGATCAGGATCTGCAACGGGCCAATTCTAAACTGCGGAAGCGACATTCGATGGGGAGTGCCGCGTCAGGGAGCCGGAGTAGCAGCTTGCAGAGCAACGGCCGCGCAGGCGATGCCGATACATCAGCTGCTGGAATCGCGTCGCCTACCAAGAGCAGCTTTGGCATTATCAAGGGTAAGAACGGCGAGTCACCAGCATTAGCCAAAGCCATCTCAGACCTTCCAGACTTCAAGCAACGACGAAGAAGCAGCGGACCCCGTCGAACCATCAGCGGTAGTCTTTTCTCCAACCCGAACGACCAGATATACGAAGAACCCGAAGAGGAAGCACCGCCTGCTCCTAAACCCACCCCCGCCGCCGAACCACCCAAGACCGAAAAACTACCACTAGGCATACGGCGCAATCCCTTTATGCGTTTCCAATCGATCAAGGGGAACCCGCTGGTGAGGTCCAGCACGGATCCTGCCATTGCGACGAAACGATTCGACCGCTACGAGATACAGAAGAACCCACCGACCCAATCGAGAAACGCAGCGTATACCCTGAACTCGGCAGAATCGAAGCCAGCAGAAGATGTCAAGGCGGACGTGGAGAATGTTCCGGAGGTGAAGATGAAGGATGGCAAGGAGATCAGGAGCGACGAGCTTCGTGCTGCCACAGGCTTTCGTCTGAAGGACCGTAGTACGAAGCTGCCTACCCCTACCGCTGTCTCAGATGCTCCCGGACGACCGATCGTTTCTTTCCAGAAGAACTGGAATGTGATTGAAATGAAGGAAGAGATATCTGCTGCACCCGATCTGGCACCAAAACCTTTGAACACAACCAAATCTGGCCCGCCGCCACTGGAGCACGCCGCAACTGAGCCTGTCGTACCTACTATCAGTCTCGCACCAGAAGTGCCCAAACGAAACATCACCCCAAGACCGCAAGTTCCAGAGATCAACGTTCCTTCCGAGCCGAAAACCAGCCTCGCACCGGACGTACCAGAACGAAGCACAACTCCAAGACCGCCTGGGGCTCCAGAGGCTAGCAGCTCGTCTGGTTCAGCGCCCGCACCCGGACGGTTCAACCTGAAAAACAAACCTACCATCAACATCTACGAGGACCCTCCAGCCCAAACGAGACCTCTGCCGCTCACCAGCTCGCTAAGGAAAGCCAATATACCAACTCGTCCTTCTGCTGCTCCTCTGCCTAGTATCAATGTATCTGACTCAGCGCCTGCGCGTTCGAGGACGACACCAGCGCCGCCAGTTCCTTCTATTTCCGTGTCCGAGACCCCGTCGATTTCGGCCAGGAAGAACATGTTCAACCGTGGCCCCTACGTTCCGCCAACGAGTGCTACGCCGCCTATTCCCAGCATATCAGTCAGCGAGACTCCAACACCGAGACGAGGCTCTACAACACCTTCAATCTCTGTAACACCGGAAGTCCCTTCGATATCCGTTAGCGAATCACCGGCGCCAAACCGTGGATCAAGAGGCAACGCTCCACCAATTCCCAGCATCTCTGTGAGCGAGACGCCCGCGCTGAGAAGGGGAGCGACTGCACCATCTATCAACGTGACTCCTGACATTCCGACCATATCCGTCAATGAGACCCCAGCTCCGACTCGCGGACGCAACAGCAATGTACCTTCGATCAACGTCAACCCTTCAGTGCCTTCGATCAACGTCAACACACCCAAAGGCTTCGGCCCAGCCGCGTCAACACGACCACTGCCAGTTCCAAACGCCCAAAACAAGTCTCACAGCTACAACGGCACAGCCACCCCTCGCACCCACTGGACCCCAACCACCGTCCGCACCGGCGCCCTCTGCGCCCAATGCGCCCTCCCAATCGCCGGCCGCATCGTCTCCGCCTCCGGCGCGCGCTTCCACCCCGAATGCTTCGCCTGCTACCAATGCGGTGAGCACCTCGAATGCGTAGCCTTCTACCCAGAACCCTCCAACAAACACGCCGAACGCGTCTCGCGCATCCGCGCCCGCCTCTCCGGCGCCGACATCCCGTACCTGCCCTCGCACCCCACCGCCGACTCCATGGCGCGCCTCGAGCACGACGACGGCACAGACGAAACGCCCCGCTTCTACTGCCACCTCGATTTCCACGAGCTGTTTTCGCCCCGCTGCAAGAGCTGCAAGACACCTATTGAAGGTGAGGTTATTGTGGCTTGTGGTGCCGAGTGGCATGCTGGTCACTTTTTCTGTGCTCAGTGTGGTGATCCGTTTGATAGCAACACGCCGTTTGTAGAGAAGGATGGGTATGCTTGGTGTGTTAATTGTCATACGCATCGGTATAGTACGAAGTGTAAGGGGTGTAGGAAACCGGTTACCGATACGGTTGTCAAGGCACTGGGGGCGGAGTGGCATGTGGGGTGCTTTGTTTGCGTTGTAAGTTTTGCCGGTCTTGTTCTTAGTGTGAAGTGACGTTTTTGCTAACTTGACAATAGTGCTGCTCTGGTCCGTTTGAAGATGGGAGGTATTTCCTTCGCGGTGAGAGTCAGGATCCGGTTTGTGTTCGATGTGAGGAGAGGAGGTTGAAGGCTTGATCGCGGCGACTTTGACTGTGTCTCTTTGCTGCTACTGCTGTGCTGTTGTGTGTGACGATCTACTGTTGAGCGTGTTTGCATATTGTTCGCATACATTGGTGTTTTGGGTACGGTGAACGGCGCTGTTTAGGCGTTTTGGGTAGCATAAAGGTAGTTGGGGAGTTGTAATATGAGGATGAGATTTGCAAGTCATGTTGAAATTGTGGGTGATGGCTAGTGGAGACATGGAGAAATCGTGATATTCATTGATGTGTACTAACTGACGCCATGATTAAGTAAAGCCCTTTTGAAGGTAGAGGTGATAACGGCGTGTTACGAAAGCAGCCTGAGGTCATGTTGCAGAAGACATTGCGTGCGCTCGAGGGCTCGTTGATGAAATTGAATCGAAGACAGCTGCTACTAGTCTATACCACGCAGGCATAATAGTTCCACCTCATACAAGGCAAAAGCTAAACACCCTAGAGCCTACATTGAGATAAAAACATGCAAAGTAGGTGGCCTAACGTCAACGTCGGCTCTAGGGTAGTAGAAATGTATTTGGCACCTTCCAACACTGTGATCGCCGTCTAAGCTAATCTTTCCTGGGGCCATCAACTGTTGACGCGCTGACTGTCGTATGAAGTGACGTCTTCGGATAGTGTCCTTGATTTCTTCTGCTGTTTCTTCCTCTTCTCCAAGCTCTTGACTCTTGTGGATAGCGCTGGCCCGTCTGACAAGTTCCCGTCACGAGGATCCGGGGTATTATGTGGGTCATCCAACGTCTCTTTGGTAGTGGTTCCCTCCACGGGTGGACGGTAGAGGACCTTGTGTGCGGCTTCGCAGGTCCCTTGCTTCCTGTTCTCACGGAGAAACCATTCTAGACTACAGCGCCACGCCTCTTGGATCATGAATCTGTGCTTACACGCGTCCCATATCTGTCCGGAATTGAGGCCACGAGCTTTGCGAGTATCTTTGTATCCACGGACGATTTGGGCGATAGTCATATTATAGTCCTTGATGCCTTTCTCGAAAATGTTACCGACTTCTTTGTCAACGAGTTTCTGTGCTTTCATAGTCCACGTGTTGATAATTGTGTTCTCCCACTCGGTGGTTTCATCTTCCAAAATTCTAAGGGTATCTGGACGATTTTTCTTCTTTTCTCCACGCTTCTTCTTCCCATCGTGCTTTGTGTTGTTTTCGTCGTCCTTCTCCTTCTCTATCTCATTCTTCTTCATGATATCCAGTACCCATGCCACGGATCGCTGCTCAGCGTCATTTCGACTCATGAGTCGAGTAGAGCCAGTCGTAAGAATACAGGGGAACTGTGTAACCTCTGGCCGATTCTTAGCTAGAAAGAGACGAACCGTGAAATGTATTGTTTGTCGGTGATAATTCTCGAATGAAGCGTTCCCATCTTCTCCAGCATCTTTCCCCAGGAAATCTTTTCGAACTTGGACGCCATCCCGTAGTGCCGGCGGGAACGAACAGTGATGTACGTTGCCTAAAGATAAAACGTCAGCCTTGTTCCACCTGGCTCATGCACGTTTAGGGCATATACCTCCGCTTAGTGTGTGACTCAAATAACGCTTTCCTGGACCGGCTGGACAGAGACGCCTGTACAAGCTCTCCATTCTGATAAATCCATCGGTGAAATGTGTCGCGTACTGAGCCAACATCCAGACCAACGTCAAATTCGCAAGTCCACAATCTGGCCAGCCACCCCCTATGTCGGAGTGATCTCCAGCAAACCAGCACTGCTGAATATGTGTTTTGCTACTTGGATCATGTTTCCAAAGTATCGGCTTGTAGAAGTGTCTTGACTCGTGCAGCGCTAGCGCCTGGAATGCAAATTTCAGGTTGGTGGGCACCGTATCTTTCACAAATGAGAGGGTGGGTGATGTCTTCGCAAATGGAAGGGTGGGCGATGCCATGATGGCGGATACGGTATCCCAGACCCCACAGCTGGTGATGCTGACAGGATGAACCGCCAGAGAGCCTCTCTTTCCTTCAGCCCAACTGGTTAAGCTAGTTTTGTTCTGTGATGACCAGATCTCGTAAACTTCCTTGTAGTGCTTCGTCACGTACTTTTCTTTGAGCAAACCCATGTTGTCAATCAGACAGGCCAGACTACGCACTGCAAAGGCACCTCTTGAGAACCCGATCAAGTGAATTTCTGCGCCGGCATTGTTCTCATACTTTGCGCAGAGGTCGAAGTACAGGTCATGGATGATGGAGTGAATATCTGCAGTTCCCTGTTACTTGAAATTCCCAGACGCATATTTATAGCTATAATGCATCACTGTAGGTTCACTGACCTCCTCCAGTAGCCTGGTAGCCTTTGTCCACTATCTTTGGAACGCTCATCCTACCGGCATTCTCAGGCGCATGAGTTCCTACACCGGCCACACCAACGTTCTTGACAAATCTTGACTCGGGCACGCATGTCTTGAATCGTTGGACATTTGTATCTTGCGTGGGTTCCGTGTTTTGAGTCGCGTTCTGTCCCGTTCCTTCGCAGAAGACAAATATCCTTGTCGGTATTGTCACACGCGGTCGTCGCGATTTGCCCATCGTACGTGCGTTTCTCAGAGAGGGAAAGGCGCTGATAGCGAACACTCCTTGATCTCCCAAGGTTCAAAGAGCGAGGGGATAGAATGGGAAGGTAACATTACCAAGGCTTTTTCTAATATGCAAACAGCCTTACGATTACCCCTCACTCCTGTACCAATCCCAGTCAGTCACAATGCTGTAAGCAGACCTAGCAAATGAGCAGTCGCATCTATACGACTTCACGAAAAAGGCTCGCCTGGACGTCTAGGCGATGATTTGGTGCGACTTATGTGGCCAATACCTCAGTGCACACTTATCGTGGAGTCTGCCGAAGTGACTATCATTCAGCCAGCCACCACCAGAATTGGGAAATGGTCGATGACAAAGAGCCCAGCGTCGCCAATTCCGATACCATGCATCTCGGAAGGCTAATATACGGAAAGGTCCACCGCAGCCTGTGGGCGTTGCGAAGGCATGGCAATACCTGAATAATGCCTAGGCGAACGTAGCTACGCCATACTATAGCATCTCAAGCGCACCCTAGATGCCCAATATCTCTTGCAGCGCACGTATCCTTCATCGAAGGTAGCGTGGCTCGATTGGTGGGGAAGTCTAGGTGCGTCGCGACATCCGGACGGCAGGTGCGAGGAGGAGATGCAGTCATGCAACGGCCGTTCTTTCACTTTTCGCGTGCAATTATAAGCTTTTCGATTCGAAGTCATGGAAAACAGGGAGTTGATCGCTGTCTAGGAAGAGCTGCGCAAGTCGTTGTTTGTGCGAAGAAAGAAGGAGAGGACCAGAAGGGTTATTGACCAGCGTTAGGCTCTTGCCTTTCCAGGGTGAGCAACATGACGTCACGCAACTGGGAGAACATAACATCCACCCACAGTTTTTGATTATCACAACAGTGACAGGAAATTACTGTGCATGCGACTGAGACTAAATGGGTGCCAGAAACGTTGACTCGTTCTACGGTTCAGGTCCATGTTCTTCTCGGTACCAACCATTACGTTACGAAAGAGTCATACACTCCTACCAAAATATAACTGCACACCTTTCGTAGTCCATATCCTAGACCAATACATTCTCTTATAATCCGAAATCACACGCACGCAAGCAATCATGTCTTCGTCTTCGTCTCGCTCTTCGCGAATCTCAAAAGCCTGGGAGAAAGAATCAGAAAAGCACACCACGCGGATAGAGACCGTCAGAGACAAGATGAAGGCACTGGGGGAAGAACTAAACCACAGAAATATGTCCGGTGCAGAGTACTGGGAAAGAGCCATGGATTATGCAGTTTTGGGTCGATGGTTGTCCTTGTGCCAGCTCGAAAGAGCTGAATACGACTATCGTACCTTCTATATCGACGATCATGGACCTGGAGTCAAATTCATGAGAACGGATAAAGCACGGTTGTTCAAGGAGAGCATGATGGCTTGGGATCTGAAAGGGAAAATATACGAGCGACGTGCTGCTACTGCAGCTGAAGCAGTCGAGACTGAAAAGAGCACCAGACTGAAGTCGTTCATACCAGTTTCTGCCATACCTCCATCGCGGTTCAACATCGAAGCCACCTTCGCGCCCCACGGTTTCAGAAACTCCATCATCGCAGACCAAGGAATGGTGGACCCCAGGGAAAAAGACAATCGCAGATACTGGAGTTATCTCTGGAACATCTTCTCCGGGGCCTACGAATACGGAGCCTATCGGCGGTTTGAAGCTCTACCTGTATTCGCCTGTCAATCCAACCCAGACCTTGCCACCGCACTATTCGGTCTCAGCAACATCGACTTCTCTCCCTCCCTCTTTACCTCATTCAACGGCCTCCTCCTACCAGACTACATGGGGGCACGCTTCGACAGTGGAATCATGGCCATTGTTCCCGATATCTCTTCCCCGACATCCCCATCAAGAATCGCGCTGTGGAACGATACCACACCAAGAGCATACAAACTCAAGATCTTCACGCAGAACCGAGAGACCGAACAGACGGGTGGGCTAATGCAAGACATCAATTCATTTACAAATGCCCGTAGGCCAGTTCCACTCCGCGATATCGACGGGTCGAAAGTAGGATTCCCTGTTTCTAGTCGGGAGGGTAGACCGAGGGAGTGTTATCTATTTTTCCACTATTGTGTGCAGATACTGCGGCAGGCTTGGAAGGGGATTCCTATAGTAGACGGGGAAAAACCTGGGTCCGATTGGGGTGCTGTGGGGAAATATGTTGACCGTGAGCAGATGCGTGCGGTTATTGATGAACTTGGGGGTGAGTATGAGGGCTTGATGGGGTGTGCGGGGGATGGCGTTGGCGATGGTGGAGGAGATAGGTATATGCTTCTTGAAGCACTGGCTGAGCAGGTTATTGTCAGTAATCAGATGAACGGGAGGAGGGATGAGTTGTATGGCGATGAGGAAGATGAGGATAGCGACGAAGACGACGACGGCGACGATTGGTGTCCCATGAAGACGCCTTATTATAACCCAACTGATATAGCGAATACGTCGTATCGTCTGGACGAATAGTTTGGTGAGAAGACTGTATCTATATCTTACTTGCGATGTGAGGAGATGCATAAGATACCCCTTCGCATACCGCCCCACACCACATAACCAGAACAATTTCACTGTACAATATACTCAATTTTCCATTCTCGATGGTACATCTAATAATACAAAAGGGCCTTTCAATCAATCCATCGCCCCGAGTCAAACAAAGCTATAAGCCGCAAGAAACCACGCTCAAAACCAAGTGAAAATACTCCATGCATGCAACCGTCTTTTCATGACCCACACCAATGCTTTCCTGCCAGAGAAAAACATCGTCCGTCGACATGCCCCAACCCCACCCACTCCATATACCCTAATTATGCAAGAGATGGACCTGAGCCAGACTTGTTATGAAATGTCTAGTTGACGTGTTGCCCTTGATACCCAAAAACGCCGCAACGGTTTGCTGAGAGAAAGAAGGAGGATAGTAGGCAAAAGGAAACAGGGTGTAAAGGGTTGACGTAGCCTTGCTGAAACAAGAGGCCTATCCTTTTGGCCATGAGAGAAAGTGCAGAACCTCCGACCTGAAATTGCATCGGGTGCATCAGAGGCTCACTGACTGCTTCCATGATCATATCCGTTCGAACCATTTGTTACGTCAAGAATCCTATTCGGCGCCGGACTCGACTTCTTGACGGGCGGATCAAGGATGGTCGGACTGGAAAGCGGTTCCAGGCTCTTGACGGGCGGGAAGATAGGCGTCTCGGACATTTGATGGCTTGATACCGGGCGCATGGCGTCATGTTTTGAGGGCGCGGGAATGGGGTCTGGGAGCATCTGCGCGGGCATTTGGGACGATGGTGATGGAGCTATGCGCATTGGTGCTGGGGCCGGGGAGGACATGTTTGCTGGGAGGGGCGCGGGCGAACTGTGTTTGGTCGGGGAGAAGGAGGGGCGGTTGGCGGAGCTGGGTGGGAAGGAGGAGTGCGGGCTGTTGAAGTTGAAGCTTGGTGGTAGGCCGTTGGTTGGACGGGGGGAGGCGGCTGGTGAGTGCTTTACTGGTGAGCCGCCTGGGCCTGCTGCTGATGCTGGGCGACTGAAGCTCCGCACATACGGTGCTGCGGGTTGTGGTGGGCCGAATGGATTCGAGTTGAAGGGGTTGGGACCGCCGAAAGAGCTGCCGTTCTGCTGTGGCTGTGGCATGTGGAAGCTTTTTGTTGGGCTGCTCGGTATCCGTTCGAGGTTGTACGGTGGAGGTGACGATGTTGGACCGTTGCCAGTTCTGTGCCCAGGAGACGAGAAGTGAGATCGTATTGGCGATGACATGCTACCGTTCGCGCCCTTGGTGGGTGATCCATATGCGGCTTCCGATCTTTGTATGCCAGGTGGACCTAGAGCTTGACCACGGGGAGAGAGACTCGGGCCATCGACCCATGGCTGTGCGGGATGCATGGAGGGCTGGAAAGCTTGTGGTCGTGGTAGTTGTACTGCGTCAAACAAGTTCGTTGACATAGAGGGGCCGTTGCCATTTGCTTCTGCTTGGTTTCGTGGTGACTGAGATGTCAATCGTAGCTTGAGAGAAGGGAGTTTCGGCTCGTCCGCCTCTCCCTCTTTACGCTTGCAGGCAGTGCAAACAAACGTAAACTTCGAATCGTCGGCCTGTTCTTCTGTGATGTCATGGCACTTCATGTGTTGCCAGACATTGCACTTCTCACACGATATTTGTGGGGTGTTGTCGTTCTACTAAAGTCAGCGGAATGCATGGTCGATGTGCAGTAATACTCACCAGGTTGGAGCCGTAAGTGCCGCACTTCTCGCAGTCAAAGAACCAATCTTCCTCCTCGTTAAGCCTCTTGAGATCACTCTCATGCTTCTTCATCATGGCTTTCAGGTGTCGCTCCGATAGCCTGGCATTGTTTGAGGCCAGCTTCTGTTCGTTCTCGTGCAGTTTACGCAGCTCCTCTTCTTTCAGAATCTTTGCCGTCTCACGCTCCTTCAGCCGTTGCTCACGAGTCATCCTGCGAGAATCCTGTGCCTCCTCCATCTTCTTTTGCTTCTCTTGCTCCGCCTTGGCCATCGCAAGTTCTTCCTGCCTCTTACGTTCCGCAGCCTCGGCTTCTTCAACCTCCTTCTGTTTCTCGAGTCGCGACGAGATTCGGGACGAGCGCTTCGCTGTAGCAAGCTTCTGCATGTTCTCCAACTCCTTCATCTTGCGGGCCTGCTTCTTTGCTTGCTCCTCTGCCAGCCCCTCCATGACAGGCATAACGTCTTCCTGAAGGCGTTTGTATAGAACCTTTTCGTTTGGATCGCGACTCTTCCGGATGCTGCTCATGTATTCCTGGTAGTCTTCCAAGGTGACGCAAATGCACTCCCACTTCTTGCCGCCGAGACCGTCGTCAATCTCTTGAGGCTGTTGCTCTTCAGTTGCTTGCTCCTCCTCCTCAGCTTCTTCGGGTTCGGGAGTGGACGCCTTTTGTCGCTTGCTGGCTCTTGAACCTCTCGATTTCTTGGGCTTTGGTTTGGATTTGGCCTTG